AAGAGAGAACACGAGTAGGGCAGGAGTTGGGGGCAGAAGGAGAGGGAGAGAATCCCAAGACGACTCCACACTGAGCACAGAGCCCAATGCGTGGCTCGATCCCAGGACCCTGAGATCAGAGTGGAAACCAAGATGCTCAACTTTGACTATGCCGCCCAGGTGCCTCTGTAATTTCATACTTGAAATAAGTTTGGATTTATTTTATCATAAAGAGATTAGTTTATCTGGATTTCTAAAAATATCATATCAGTTTACTGAAAAGATAAGCTAAGATTACTTCATATAATGTTTAAGCTCAACAAAAATATAAAAGTTGTGCTCAACTAAACAGAATTATAATTGTGACACACGTTTTTATATCAATAGTAATTATGTTCTATGATGTGTCAGTTTAAGCATAATTTTCAGTATCTTTAAATTATTTGCTTTTGTCTTACTGCTTTTGTCTTAAAGTATCCTGTCGTTCCAGGATTGAAAGAGGACCGTAAAAAACAAAAGTCGGTGAAAATTTAAAAATTGTAGGTTTGCACAAAGGGAGCTTTATCTGACTTGGTTTATAATACTTGCAATAGTAAGTCTATAACAATGCAATAAAATGTTAAAATTTTGGCAAAGTTTGGACAACTTTGATGGGTTTATTCATAAAGTAATTTAAAAAATGTAATGCATGACAAATACCCTATTAACATAAAACTTAAATGTGGTTACATATATTGAAATGATAGATTGATCTTGGAGAAGTCAGCCTGGCTTACAAAAAGGTAATAAAAGGTTATTTTCCCAAAAAATTTCCAGAGAGTAGAGAGGTTCAGTAACTCATGAGAGTAACTTTTTTGTGCTTTGTGCTAACTGGGATACATCCCTGAATATTTAAAATGATGTTTTCTAGTGGTTTAAGATTTCTTGTTTATTATAAAATAATATTTTAAAAAAAATCTTATTTATTTACTTTATAGAAAAAGAGAATACTAGAGAGAGTGAGAGCAAGCATGAGTAGGAGGCAGAGGAATGGGAGAAGCAGGTTCCTCATGAGCAGGGAGCCCAACGTGGGACTCGGTCCCAAGACCCTGGGATCATGGCCTGGGCCAAAGGCAGACGCTTAACCAACTGAGCCACCAGGCGCCTCTATTATAAAATAACCTATTATTGCTTTATTAAGAAGGAAAATGAAAATATTCATTGTTGTCATGTAACCACAAATCTACCTTTGTTATGTAATGAAATTTCCTCTAATTATTATTTTTTGAAGATTTTTATTTAATCATAAGGGGCATAGAGAGAGGCAGAAATCTCCTCCAATTAATATTTGACTCTGCCTTCCCAAAATCAGACCCTAAATTCAGAAAAAAAAAAGTTTTCCAAGATATTTTTTATACCTGAACCCTCTTTAAGTTTTCCCAGAGGACCCCCGGGCAAGTGCAAGATTTGTTCCTTCACCCTACAAAAAGAAGGATGTTACAAATAATTAGGTTTGCTCTGTCCCTCATGTATGATTAGCTCAACACCATCAAAAACTGCACAGGAAGATTTGTCAAATCAAATGAGAAGCTCGGCTTTCCCTAGGCTAATTTTGTATGGATAAAATATGATAATAGAAATAAAGTGGGCAACCCGGGTGGCTCAGCAGTTTAGCACTGCCTTCAATCCAGGGTGTGATCCTGGAGACCCAGGATCGAGTCCCATGTCAGGCTCCCTGCATGGAGCCTGCTTCTCCCGCTGCCTGTGTCTCTGCCTCTGTCTGTGTCTCTGTCTCTCTCTCTGTCTCTATGAATAAATAAAATCTTAAAAGAAAAAAAAAAAGAAAATTCACAGATTGCATACTTTACAGAAGGTCCTGGATATACGTCAATGGCCTCACTCTCTGTGACTCATTCTTACCTTCCCAGGAAACACTGATGAAATAAGACCAATGTCTTATGCCCTGGCAGAGGATATTAAGTTGCTTTCTTGCCGATTACCATTCATTAACTTAACCACAGATTAACCATAGCCACTTACTCTTACCCTCACCAATGGTCTCTGCTTTCCCTCTCATATTAGCCTAGACACTCTGCTCTGAGTTATAGACTAGAATGTGCCTGTAATAAAGACAGAGTCTCAGAGCCTGGTGGTTAGAACTTTACCAGATACTCTTTCTTCAGTCTTGAGATTTCAGACAACAGACTTGTGAGTAGAGGCTTCTGGCCTGATCCTGCATAGACAAGCATGAGACAGTAGTAGGTGGCTAAATCAGATTCTCAGGACTTCTTTTAGTCCACAAATAGATGCCTTCATGAAATCAAATTAATGACCCAAGATGCAAAGGAATATCAATTAATTATACAGAACTCAGCAAACTGACACTGGAAATCTAATATCCATATGTCTTGTGGAAAACCATTGGCATTATGTGTAATGATCTACTAAGTGGGGAAAACCTCTAGCATTCATTCTCCATCTATCTCTAACCCTCAATTTAGTTGACTCTGATTCTGCAAACTAAATGAAACATTCTTTCAATGGTATCTTCTCCTTGTTCCTCAGAATTCAGGAAGAAATATTTCTTCTAAGTCACTGTATGTTTCAAAAGCAGTAACAGTACTTGCATAGGCTCAGTGAGAATCTATCTTCCCTTTTACTGGGATGCAATTAGACAGACTAAGCAACAGAGGCCAAACCCAGAGTCTCATATTTTAAAATAAACCTCATTTCATCAAATATGACAAAGCCCATTGTTGAGCAAAAAAAAGGTCTAACTTCGTATTTGGAGCCAATACCCACAAAGTTCTCCCAAGAAATTAAACCAGGACCTGTTTGTGACTTACAAGGCACTGACTTTATAGGCAGTGAAGAAGGTCACCTCCCAGATTGCCAGGAAACTGGAAAAAAATGGCAAATTCACCAACACTTAAAAGTGCTAAAGATGAAACCTGGAGGTGGTTTTCGAGGTTGGTTTCCCTGCCCTTGAAACAGAAGAGGAAAAAAACAACATCTCAGGAAGATTGCTGGAGTGAGGGAAGCCATTGAAATGCTCTCCTAGATTCCTTAATAAATTATCCGATATAAGTTAATTTTCTGGCTTCATTAATAATAGTCATTCAGGAATGAAAGGTACAGCATAGGGAATATAGTCAATGGAATAGTGTTGTTTGGTTGTATGGTGACGGATGCTGGCTGCATTTGCAGCGAGCACAGCCTAAGGTACAGATTTGCAGAATCACTATGTTGTACACCTGAAAATTAATGTATCCAGTGTAACAGTGCATGTCAATTATACTACAATAAAAAAAAAGAGTTGTTCAGCACAGTGTAGAGCCAGATTTGCTATCCAACATATAAGAAGGCTTTTTCATATGCTAATTAAAACTTCTCCTGAATTTATGTCAATGAGTCAAGCCCAAACACAATGCCTTTCTGTGACCATGAAAAATTCTCTGGAGATTACTTACGATAACAAAGGAAACTGTCATTTTGGAGCACCCTCTAACAGACCCACCCAAGGACTACAGAATTCTCTAAGGGTATGCGCATTCGTTTTCATTCACTATTACTGATTAGGATATCAGAAAGGATAGATATTAACTTATCAAAAACTACGAGTGATGCAAATGATTCTTCTAAAATTCCAAGAAATCTTAATCCAGTATACTTCCTTTTAGCAACTGAAATGCTTTCGGTACTCTTATACTTTTGTAAATCAGCTTTAACATCTTGCTGCAACCTTCATTAAGGAACAACTCATCATTAATGAATTAAAATAATCTCTGACCCTGTACATCCTAAAAAACAAATAGACAAAAAAAAAAAAAGTCTCTGCTTAAAAGAAAAAAGAGGGCTCTCTGGGTGGCTCAGCGGTTTAACGCCTGCCTTTCACCCAGGGTGTGATCCTGGAGTCCCAGGATCAAGTCCCACATGGGGCTCCCTGCGTGGAGTCTGCTTCTCCTTCTGCCTGGGTCTCTGCCTCTCTCTCTCTCTGTGTATCTCTCATGAATAAATAAATAAAACCTTAAAAGAAAAAGAAAAAGAAAAAATAGAATGCAGTAGTTTGTCCTCAATCATTAATGGGACTCTCAGAGGATGTTTCCTCCCTTCTTACTATTTTCGGTATTTCTCACAATAAGCATAAATCCATTTTAAATAGGAAAAGACAACTGAAAACATTTTTCCGGATGTATAGTTGGGTGTCACTGCATGTACGAGGAGACACTGCTGACAGGCGTATGGGGCGGGGAGGGTGTGTGTACGTGCACAGTGCAGAAAAAAAGGTTGAGCCACACTTAGCCAACCTTTCAACTTTCCAGACCACTTGCAATACAGAACAATTTACCGCCTAGCTGCCAATGAGTCACGATTTCACTGATTATGTCTACCAGACCATGCACATGCACATTTGATGGCATCGGTAATATAAATCAGTGTCTACTTGTAGTCTTAAAAGTCTCTAAGACTTCTAAGAAATTCAGTAAAGGCTCTCTGTGTGTCTCTCATGAATGAATAAATAAAATCTTAAAAAAAAAAAAAAAAAGAAAAGAAAGGAAATTCAGTAAAGGGCAGCTCAGGTGGCTCAGCAGTCTAGCGCCGCCTGCAGCCCAGGGCGTGATCCTGGAGACCCGGGATCGAGTCCCACGTGGGGCTCCCTGCATGGGGCCTGCTTCTCCCTCTGCCTGTGTCTCTGCCTCTCTCCCTCTCTCTGTCTCTGCGTGTCTCTCATGAACAAATAAATAAAATCTTTGGAAGGAAATTCGGTAAAATCCACAACCGCTTTGTTAGGTTTATCCAGCATCTATACCTGGGGACCGTGCAGAGCAACTAAACCGAACTCGAGGTACGGGTGGGCCTTGCAGGAGCCACACGTGACCGAGGATAGCGACCGGGGAAGGGGAGGGACAGCAGAACTCTAGAGGGGCGCGGCGAGGCGGGGTGCCCTAGGAGCCCGACAGCCCCGCACACATCCTCGGGGCGCGCCCCGGGACGCCGCTCAGCGAGCAGCCGAGGCCAGGTGGGGCGCAGAGGAGGATTACCAGTCGCTCCATCTCCTGCTCCCTGAGTCTCTCCTCCCTCTGCCGCCGGTGATAATCCATGAGGTCCTCGCGGCCCGAGATGGAGCTGATGCTGCTCTTCCTCTCGCGGAGGGCGGGCTGCGGCGTCCCCGCGGCCTGTCGGAGGCCGTCGGGGTCGGGGTCGGGTCGGGGTCGGGGTCGGGGTCTGCCTCGTCCAGCTCGGCGGAGCCCCAGGAGAGGTTCCTGCGGGCGGGCGGGGCGCCGTCGGGGCGGTCGGGGGCGCAGGGGGCGCAGGGGGCGGCCGAGGCCAGCAGCATCTTGCGGGCCACCCGGGGGCTGGCGGGGATGCTGAGCGTGGAGCTCGCGTACGGGGCGCCCTCGGCCGCCGACGGCCTGTAGGGCGCCGGCCCCGCGCTCCAGGAGGAGAAGTTCAGGTAGCTGTCGTGCTCCGTGCAGCGCGGGGGCAGCTCCCGGTCCCCCAGCCTCGTCCGTCTGGGGCCGCCCAGCGCGCCTCTGGGGGGCAGGCTGAGCGGCGGCGGCGGGCCGTCGGCCGCCCTGTGCAGCCGGGGCAGCGAGCGGCTGTGCGCCCCCATGTGGCCCAGGCCGCCCCCCGCCGGCCTCCGGGCTCTGGGCGCCGCGCCCTCGGGCGGGGGCTCCCGGGGCCGGCCGGGCCGGGGCTGCAGGGGCTGCAGGGGCTGCAGGCCCGCGGCGTCCTGCAGGCCCATCCTCCGCGCCTGCTTGGGGCTGGACGGCATGCTGGCCGCCCCCGACCCGGGGCCCGCGGGGCCGCCTGCGCTCCACGGGGCCAGCGGCGAGCCCGACGCCCTCCGGGCCTCCAGCGCGCCCAGCAGGCACACGTTGTCGTGGGACTTGTTCCGGGGGCTGTACTTGCAATAGAGGGGCCTGTCGGCCAGCCGCAGGGGCCGCTCGGGGTCCGGCCTCCCGGGGGCGCAGGCGCCCAGCGGCGGGGCGGGCGGCCTCCCCGCCCCCGCCCCCGCCCCCGCCCCCGGCAGCGGCCTGCCCCCGGGGCCGCGGGCCAGCGAGGGGCTGCTCCGGGCGCCGCTCCCCAGCGGGGACGGGCTCCTCCGCGCCGGCAGCGGCTGCGACAGCGTCAGGTACGAGCCGGAGTAGTCTCCGTTGGCTTTGAATCTCAGACTGGAGGAGTATTTCTTGGGGCTCAGGCTCTCCATCATGGTCTGGGAACGGTCGTCGTCGTCGTCGTCCTCGTCCGGGGAATTGGCCCCAAAACCCGCCTCTAGGCTCCCATTCTGTAGATCGAGCTGCTTTTGCACGTGGCTAAGCTCTGCCATGGTCTTGCTGGAATCTGGAAAGGGAAAAAGAGAGAGAGAGAGGAGGGTTGTATTTAGCAACGATCGAAAAAGTGCAAGCACTGGCCAGCTGACGTCCGCACAAACAGCCCTGCGGGCTGAGCTGATGGGATTACCGAACGCAGGCTCTTGGTTGATTAAGAAGTCCAGTAAAACTAAGGCGAAATGAAGAGGCGTGAAGAACACCGCTGTGGGATGCTGAATGTGCAAAAGAAAAGTAACTCAAGGGGATCCCTGGGGGGCTCAATGGTGGAGCACCTGCCTTCCGCCCAGGTGTGATCCTGGAGACCCGGGATCGAGTCCCAGGTGGGGCTCCTTGCATGGAGCCTGCTTCTCCCTCTGCCTGTGTCTCTGCCTCTCTCTCTCTCTCTCTCTCTCTCTCTGTCTCTCATGAATAAATAAATAAAATCTTAAAAAAAGAAAAGAAAAGAAAAGAAAAGAAAAGAAAGAACTCAAGAGGCCACTGATGATATTTGAAAAGAACAAGTCCCTAACAAAGTACAGGTGAGGCTGGTCCATAAGAAAGACCGTTTCCCTAAAATAAAAAAAAGAAAAAAAAAAGAAAAAGACCATTTCCCATCAGTCATTCTGGTCCTTGGGGGACCACCTGCTTCCTGAGTACCAGGAAAACAACCACCATGGCAACGCAGTGCACCCTCCTTTGGGTGTCTCTGCTAGACTCATTAACTGCTCAGAAGTCAAGTCGTGCAGAGACAAAATTCACATTCTGGCACACTAAGAGAGTTTCCCGTTAGACACAGATCAGTATCATGAGGGGCAGAAGATGACTATGAGAGTTCCCTTCTCAAGAAAGAGGTCATAAAGCTCCCGTACCCATCGGAAAAAGTCAGGTCATCGAGGAAACAGAGAAAAGAGGGTTCCCAAAACAACTGCCATATCAGGGTCAGGAGGCGGTATTTAAAACCTGAAACTGGAGGATCCTTAGGTTCCAGGTATCCTAAATGAATCATGCTCATCCTTGATCTCACACTCTCTCCTCTTGTGGAAACACTTTTCTCCCTCCTTTGTACCCACCCGAACCCACCCATCCTTCATGGCTCAGATTCAGATTCTATCTTCCACGCTTACCACTTATTAGAAAAATGTGTGCACCCAGAAGAGTATTTTTGGACTCTAGTTTGAATTACATTAACTTAAGAAACTAACGTTTTAGGTTATGAAAACATACTTTAAGTTCAATGATCACTGCAAATGAGAAGGCTTGCATTTGTAATTGATAGAAGTGTGTATTTTTCAGATTATCATCAAAGCAAAAACACAGTTTAAACATTCTCATTGAACTCATGCACTGCTGAGACCTGTCCAACACCTCAGGCTCCTTAGATACTAGTTATCACATCCTGGTCTTGTATCAATAGATGAGTAACCAGTTTTACAACGTGCTTGTTCCTGAAACTAGGTCACAAGTTCAAGGAAGAGGGGTAGACAAAGTATTCCCATCTCATCTCCAGCCTCTCCTGACTCCCACAGACCCATTGGTGAGACACTCTATGAGCACTAGTTTTCAATTTGTCACAGCCTTCCCCCACTGTGTCCTATCCAGAGACTGGGGACTTTGCCAGACTTGCAGACTTGCTCAGCTTTGCAGACTTCCTGGGCAGATTCAGACAGTATACTAGGGAGCTGCTTCCTATCCAGGCTGGGGCCAAGAAACAATCTGGGTACTTAAATCCTAGTGATGGGCTAAGTATCCATCCTCTTGTAAAGCTCAGCTTGCCCCAACAAGCTCTACCTTGGGTTCCCTACCCTCCAACCCAAACCCCTGCCCTGATGGATTAAAAGCATGATTATCTTTTGGAGTAAACCTCAAAAAAAAAAAAAAAGAGATTCTCCCTTAGAACTGCCTCCCAGATAGAATCTGGTCTTGCCATCTGGCTTTTGTCAGGTCTTTCATTCTTCAGGGACAGGGCCATCTCTGCTCCCAAGACAAAGTCATAGTCAGCAACTGTCTACGACCACCAGCTATCACCTTGAAAGCAACACAAGTCTGGTTTGAGGCTTACCTCACTCTGCCCTCTTGGAGGACTGAAACGAAGATGACCTCGAGTCATGATCCCCTCTGTTCTCAACTAACTGAGTTGCTTTGACAGTTAAGGGGGGGGCACTTAGTGTAAACTACTAGAGTATGTATAATCTGTAGCAATACTTCTTTTTAAAAAAATTTGCATTTACTTTATTTTATTTTACTTTTTAAAGATTTTACTTATTTATTCATAAGAGACACGGAGAGAGAGACAGAGACACAGGCAGAGGGAAAAGCAGGCTCCCTATGGGGAAACTGATTGTGGGACTTGATCCCAGGAAGCCAGGACCACGACCCGAGCCAAAGGCAGACAGTCAACCACTGAGCCACCCAGGTGCCCCTATTGTATTTTATTTCTGCTTTATTGAGGTATGACTGACAGATAAAATTGTAAGATATTTAAAATGGACATTGTCGTGATTTGATGTACATACATGTTGTGAATGGATTTTCATCATCTGGTAGTTAACACATCCATCGTGTGTGTGTGTGTGTGTCTGTGTGTGTGTGTGTCTGTGTGTCTGTGTATGTATGTGAGAGAGAGAGAGAGAACATTCAGGTTATAAATGACTTGGTAAAAAAGTATATAGACTTTCAGCTATAAGATGGATGTATGAGGATCTAATGTAAAACATGGTGACCACACTGTAGTTGAAAACACTATCATATAATTGAAATTTGCTAGGAAAGTAGAACTTAAATGTTCTCAGAAATACTTCATGCATAAGTTGATTAGGCTCTCATTTTTCCTAAGCTCCTGTACAACTGTTGAGCCAGATATTAACTCTTCTTAAAAAGGTTCTTGGACGACTAACTTAAGATGTAAATATTTGACAACTTCAGCATTTTCCCCAGCTCTTCTTAATGACTCGGGCAAAATGTTAATCATGCAAGTGTAGCCATTCCGTACTCTAAGTGTCTGAAAAACTACAAAACCAAACACAACGCATTCCCTAATATGAGTAAACAGAGTGGTTACAAAAAATTCTCAGAAGTTTGCTGAACACAGCCTGTACAATAATATTAGCATCCTCGTCTCCTAAAAAATGTGGTTAACAGGATGCATATTTAACTTGGTTCTGCTTATCGTACAGAAAAAAAATTAAAATCCCAACAGAAAGTTCTAGATACTTTATTCACTAAATGGTTCTTGGGTGCCTACCGTGCACTGGATATTGATTCAGGTATTAGTGTTGCTCACTAACATTCCTGTCCCCTTCTCATAAACAAAGAGGTGTTTCCCTTCTGCACCCCTGTAACATTGGGTATGGCTATGTCTCTTGCTTTGATCAAGGAACCATGAGAGAAAGTGACATGTCAGTTCCAAGCTGAAACATGAAGAGCTGGGGCATGATTCACTCTTTCCACCCACCACCCCCACGATAAGATGACTAGCATGCATCCAAGTTTGTGCAGACTTTATTAGCCTATACCCCTCAATGGGGACACTGTGAAACAGGACTCTTGCCAACCCAAGATTGTCTTAAGCCACTGAGATTTGGAAGTTGTTTGCTACTATGAAGGTGTTAATCTTCCTTAAGTTCTTACCATAAACTAGGCTTTCAGCTGGGCACTGGGAAGCACGTGGTCATATACCACTTCCTGCCTTTACACAGCTTACAGTCCAGAGGGAAAGACACTCATATGAACAAATGATTGCCATACAGTGTGACACGCGCCTTAATAGAAAAGTGATTGAAACACCGGTAAAGGAACATGGAGGGGACTAACCCAGTGAGAGTCGGAACCCAGAGATTACGGTGCAAAGAAATGACAATAAAGTTAAGTCCGCTGAAGGAAAGGGAATATGATGAGTACTACCCAATAGCAGCATAAGGCTACTTTTATATTCCATGATTTTATGAGTATAAACAATATCCCATTCATTTGGGGAATATAAATAATAGTGAAAGGGAATAGAGGGGAAGGGAGAAGAAATGGGTAGGAAATATCAGAGAGGGAGACAGAACATGGAAGACTCCTAACTCTGGGAAACGAACTAGGGGGGGTGGAAGGGGAGGAGGGCAGGAGGTGGGGGTGACTGGTTGGCGGGCACTGAGGGGGGCACTCGATGGGATGAGCCCTGGGTGTTATTCTGTATGTTGGCAAATTGAACACCAATAAAAAATAAATTTATTATTTAAAAAAAATAAACAAAATCCCAAACCCATTAGAGGTTAGACTACTGGCACATGCAGCAAACGTCCTGTCTCTGACTGAATTAATAGCAAAACATGGGTAAGGAAAAAGAAACGGTTATTTTCTATATTACGGTCCTTTTTGAAAAAAGTCTAGCATGTAACTCTTCCGGGATGAACTATAATAAACATGCATTTCTCTCTCATAGTGATCTAAATCCTTTCCCATCTCTACCACCATGTAAGATATGCCCTCAAGAGTCCGAGCCATTTGCCTACCCTAAGAGTGGCTTAAATTGGCAAGCAATTTCCAACCATTTAGGATATTTTCGACAAGGCTACAAAAGGAAATCCCTAAGTGAGATATTAGAATAGACAAGAAAAGAATTAAAGTCAGTTAGTGGGGAGACTTCGGTTTTAAGATAATGTATACAAAATGGGAAACAGAACTAAGTTAGAAGAATTCCCACAATGTGCCGAGACAGCAATCCAGAAAGCAAGCCAAAGCACACGTGATTAAATAGAAGGCAAAAATTAAACAATGAGCCCAAACACTACATTTTAAATATTTACTCTGTTAACAGCACAGAGTTGAAGGGTTTAATACATCATGTCAAAAATGGATATTTAAAAGTTTAATTTCTTAAAGGGCATAGTTTTTCTGTTTTCTCTCAATAAAAAATCGGTCAGTTCACTATGTATAAAGCAAATAAATTCTACTCTGATGTGGAAAAAAAAAGTTTAATTTTTGACGCAGCCATATAAGATAATGATGTCATTTTAGATGATAAATACATTACTACACTTGAACTTG